AAATTGGGGCTAAACAATATAGGACACTCAATAGACTGGTTCCAAGGAAAACGTTTTGGAACTATTTATGGCTGCTGGATAAGCTTAAGAAGAGGGAGAGAGACTGTTTAGGAAGAGCCATTGAACAAGAAAAGAAGGCTGGATTAGCCTCAAGTCTAGCTAGAACTATCCCATATCACATGACATGAACATTGCATACACATGATAGACAATAGCACAAGCTTAAACATGCCTCAACATTAAATGATCGTATGCTAGTTGTTTTTTTTTGTAATGACACAGCTGCCACCGAACGCACTTCCCGTTCGGGAATTAACTTCACTCATTCGCAAGCATGTAGAGTAAGATTGAAGTAGCCAACCAAATCATCGGATGCCTCATTAAGATCGCGATGTTAGGTGTATAAAAAGCACCTTTTCTCTTGCTTTAGTATATTTTTTGCTCTATTTCGTAAAATATGGATTCTTGCTTTGATTATGTATGTCACAATACAGACGAAAGCTTAACACAGTTTCATCAGGGTCGCAGGACAGTGAGCCAAGGACTTCTTTGCACAACTCAACAGTCTTCTCTGTGCAGCAATCCTACTTCGGTTTCCGGCAAGGCCATATCATAAATTTCTTCCTACCAACTCTCCCTTTAAAATGGAGAGTCGTGTCACAAATTTTATTCTGACTGAATTTGCCAATGCTATATGAGAAGTGGACTAGTGAGATATCTTATCCAATTCTAAATCAATAGATATAAGAGGTTTATGTTATAAAAGCTTGCAAAAGATTAACATGACTAACTTTCCAAACGATTACCTTCTTGGTTTTAGTGGGAAGAGGTGATAAACGGAAGGCTTCTTAGAACACCCTGGCGAAAACATGGATAGGATCTTTTGTAACGCTTAGATTAACAATTAATTCAATCATGGAATGTTTAGAATTTTCAAGATAGCGCTGTGTGTCGAGTCGAATGCTCTTTGGAATTGTCTTAACCACAATAGAAGCACATCTTTAAGTCGAAAAAAGGTTCCGTCGATTGTTTATTTATGTACAATTAAAATGTAAATTATGTGATGTGTGACAGATAAAAAGGTTGTCAAAATGAGCAAGTAGATAGTTCTTTTTCGTACTTGATTTGCGTCTCAATAATAAACCCATCTCAGGCAAACCGGGGAGACTTTAATGAGAGTTCTAAGGAAATAATTCCAGCCAAACCAGGTCCCATGTGATGAAGGAATGACAGTTGAATTTTACAAAAATGATATGAGTAGGTCTCATAATGCCATTAAATTTGAATTATCCTTGCCTTCCAAAGATATGATCATCCAGAGTGGATTCAAATTGCTATCTTGCCTGGGTCTGATCAGCCCCCTCTAACTACTATAAAACCCAGGTAGCGCAGTGTATAATTTCCTATTCTTACCACTACGCAGAAGACGTGGATTTCAAGGAAGGCCATGGCTGTCCTATAATCACATTTATGTAGATTTCAATTAGGCAGACTGGTATTTTTCGTTTCCCTTTTTTAAGTAGGCTTTCGTTAAGATCAGAATATGGTAGCTGAATTTTCCCACAATAAAATGAGTAGGCTTTAGGTTTCCATTGCATTTCACACAACCTTGCTTTCCCCAAAGGTATTTTCATTCAGGGCGAACTGCAGTCTCAATCTCGCCCAGGTCTCGTCGGTACTTAAGGTGGAATCAAACCACGGGTAGTATAGCGCATAATCTCAACACGTTAACCATACGCTGCCCTGCTGCCACGAGTGCTATTGGGTCACAGGAGAATTTGAATTTCAAAGAAGGCCAGGCACTTTCCCATATCACATTCTGTGGTGGGATTTTTGATGGATCAAAGTTGTATTCGATATAGTGATCGACTGCCTTACTTAGTTACGCTTATAAGTAGGTTTTCGAGACTATCAGTAAATAAAATATATGAAATGCATTTACTTAATTTTGTTGAGGTGATGAAGGACTGATAGATAAATTTTCTCACAAGGATATGAGTATGTCTAATCTTCTGTGAAATTTGGCCAAAAGGGAACATCAAGAAAGACTGTCTCAGACATGTGACTGTAGATTTGAAAGTACAGGTCCTCGGCGCAATGCCCTCCGATCTCGATTAATCTCTACAGAGTTCTCATTGGTCATATGGAGCTTGTTGGCCTAGTGTTAGGTGAATTTGGCAAAAAAATTATTTCTCGCTTAAACGATGTCTATCACATACACACAGGTAAAACATTAACATGTATTAATCAAGGCCGAATAGCTGTGTAGCAAAAGTAGGAACGTGAAAACCGAGAGTATCAAGTGGAAGGCAAATATCAGTCTCCAATATGGCCGTCCAACAACTCTTCATCTGATATTTCGTTCTAGATGAAAAATCATTTAATCAAAGTGCTTTTGTTCCAAAAAAAGGTTACAATGGCAGTAGATAACGAAAGGGGCTGTAATTAGTGAGTACAGGCAGGGTAACAGAGGAATTTACCTTATGGTCAAGACTTCCCGTTACCCCTTGCATCGCGCGTGTGAAATTTAACGTCTCCGGGGAGCAGGATCTAATCGCATCTGTTCGGCCAAGGTGAAAGCGGCGCAAAGAGCCACTCTCGTAGATTGGTGGGGGCAAGTGACCGTCTCTAGGCGACCGGAGGCGGGAATAAGCCAATTGAATGCCCATCTGTTGGCAGAACACGAGTAAGGGGAGATGAAGTGTGGATAGTGGGGAAATAGGAGAAGAGCAGGGCGTTGAGCGGAAGGTTATCTTACTTTATCTTAAGTTTAGAGCAACATTAATGGATGTAAAACACCGGTGCAAGAGACCAAACGTGAATAAGCTCTCGCCTTAGGTATAAGGGACTCGATAAAACTCTAGTCTTAAAAAGATGTATTCTCAGGAGATATGCGAATGCTAGACAGTATTTATGCCATTATGGCTAAAATTTGAACCTAACGATGGCTAAACATGCATGCCAGCGACCAGGAAAGAGGAGTAAATATTCAAGAATATGGCATGAATTTGCACACATATCGAAAATCATATATCTATTACAAAAGGTAAGCTGAACTAGTAGACGTAGAGAAACAAATCCTTGCAGCTTTGTATATAATTGGTTTAAACTCCTTTTCGCAGATACAACTTGCTAACAAACCAACTTGGCCAATTTGCTGCTGCCTCCTTAACGAGTTGTGGCTTAGTAATAGGAGCGGAAAGGTTCATTGGCGATGCATGCGAAACATTTGGAAATGTTCTTGGTCTAGTGTTCGACACCGAAGATTATCATGAATACTATTTAAATTACGTCCCTCGAGGTCCTCCTGACAACACAACTAAGTGAAAACTAAGAAAACCCAATTCTACACATCGAAAAGAGATTATGACAAAAATAGAGGCCACACTGTCTTGGTATTCATATCTTCGATTGACCTCCCACTTTTGCTTTTTGAAACAGTGGAAAGGCCGAGTGAGAAGGTATTTACAAAAAAGGGACAAATGAGATATAATCACAAATGTCCTTTCAATATCGGCCATTTCGAGGGATTGTGAAATTCTCTTATAAAGTCTTGTATGTGAAAAAGGCGTTTTCCGTCTCCAAACGAACTTAATCTTTACGACATGCGAATAGTAGGCTGCTAATAAAATGCAAATATAGATAAAGTAAAAAAAGAAAAGATAGTATGCCTACCTGTACAAAAGCATCCGGACTGAGTTTGGCCTCCTTGAGCTTTTCCTTCCCAAAGCCTGTGAAGGAAGATCTTTGAAGAGCCAATTTATCGATTTCACTAGAATGCGAATATTAAATAAGTGAATCTCTGAAACATTATTATAATTAAAAATTTGAATCTTTAACTGCGGAACAGCATACTGGAAAACATTAGAACTAAATAGGAAATTAGCATATTCAAAAATGCTAGAGCATCAATTTCTGATACATATTTATTTGATTTAAATATTTAAAATAGTACACCTCTAAGAAACAAAAAACAATACTATCTTTTAGATTTCACATCAATTCACTAACACTTTAGAACGAAAAATGGGCGAATGAAGATCGATTGAAATGGAAAACATCAATTTCGACTAAACTGAAGCCGAGTGGTTAGCGTGTCAAGCTACCGTCCTGCACTGTCGCGGTTCGAATCCCGCTGAGGGTGTT